GCTCTCAAAGCATCAGCCCAAAGCTGGCTTTGGGTTTAGTTTATATGGGGTTTGCAAGCAGGAGATCCAAAAGCTTGAACGTGTGGTGAATTTCTATTGGGTAGGGTCGGTGATCTCTCATGGCTAGCCAGAAAGTCCTTGAAGTAAGTGAGCAATAGTGTCAGTCATCTCTCCTTGCTGGAAAGTACAAGGTATGTAGCTAACTGCAGACAGACTGAGCTGACTCGGGAGATCACTAGTGTAGTCAGTCAAGGCTGAGTGAGTCTAACAGACGAGCTGCATGGTAGGCTGCATGATCTTATTTTGTCCTAATATGGTGTCAGACGAGTGGTTGATTTTTAAATTTCCTGTCACACCACCACCCTGTATACAATTCTACTCACTCTCCTATTGCTGTGGTCCCATTGGAAGACACTTTGAACTTATGGTGGTAAGGATAGCTGCATTTTCCTTTACTTTTGTCAGCATTTATCACCCTGTGTTTCAGATATCCTGTCTGTGTTGGTTTTCTGTCTTGGTTCCTCTTCTCTTATTGCTGAAGGAAAATACCTGATGTCCAAAATTAAGGAAGTGTTTATTTGGTTGACAGTTTGTAGAGGGTTCAGTTGCTAATCAGCTGGCTCCAAAGCAGGGTGGCATGGTGAGGGGCAACAATTCAAGGAGGCAGAAGACAGCAAAAGTAATAACAGCAAAAATGGGGAGAACAAGCCTCTTATCTTCCATACATATACTGTATGTAGGCTCTCTGCCTAGGGCGAGTGTAGTATTCACACCATCTCTGAGTCCCAGTCTTTCACAGGCTGAGGATTTTTACAAAATGAGGACCCTGGCCCCTTGCTGAATGCCTTAGTTACACTTCTAAACTTCTGCAGTTGACACAATGAATCAACCATTACAATGTCCGAAGCATTGGGCTTGGAATCTATCTTGCACACAGTTTAGATGTGGAAGGCCTGCATTTTCCCTGCTCCTTAGCAAGAAGCATTCTTCTACTGGCGAGGGAGCAGATAGCACTGAGCAGACTTGATAGGAGCAAGCTACATGTGTGTATGTGGTCTTGTGCATAGTAAATAGTGCTCTACCCCTGTGCCCAAAGCATATCCTGTTCTAAAAATCACTTTCCCATTTCCTTTGAAGAAGGACAATCCTAGGACCTAAAAGGAAAGCTAGGACACAAGGCCAACAGGTGATATCTTTGGCAGGAAAAAGCCAAACAGTTACTTCCTAGCTACTAAAGTGGGTTCCTGACCATGTCCTCAAGAAGAGCTGATGGAAGTCCTTGCTGATGGTTGGTGGGTTTCTGAGGGTTGTGCTGGAGTGAAGCGGGAGCAACTTGCTCAGCAGGGACTGACGTCTCCCCTGATTCCTTTGCAGTGAAGAAAACTTCCCCAGAGACAGAGACATCCCCCGGGTGGCAAGCCCCAAGCCAGGCACCGTATGTGCCACACCCTTGGAATTCCTCGAGTCCTGCAGTAGCAGAAGTACTCACTTTCTAGAGAACATTTGCCTAGCTGAGATTGAGGACCTATCACAGAGAGTTTCATTGCAGATTTCCATTGATCTCGTGGCCTTGGATACAACCCAAGATCAACCAGAGACGAACTACGATGGAATGAGAAGCAAGCTTTCAATGTCTCTGGATTCCCAGCAGATTGTTGTAGAAAACCTAGATCTGCTTTTACTCTCCTTAGCTATCCCTGACCTCTTGGAGTTTTGCCCTGCCTTGAGCCTCCAAGCCAAGAAAAGCCTGGTTCTGAACAAGTCCTCTGAGGAGAGGGCTGCCCTAGTTTCCAGGACTAAGAGCATCTCGACAAACAAACTGACTCTAGCCTAGAGGGACAGATGTTGCAGCCCTCATGGAGGGCATTCAATTTCCACACATATTTAATTCCTTTGATCGTCTTGACCAGTTCAAGCATCCAGTAGCCATCAAAACCCAAGACACTGGAGTCATCGAGGTGAATCAGGTTCAGGAGAACTCGGGCGTCACTAAGGGCTCCTTGCCTCCAGTGAGGAAGAACAAACAGAAATCCTCCTGGCCAATCACTGGAGCTCCTGAGGCTAAAACCCAACTGAAGGCCCCTGAGAGCCTGTTAAGGGGAGAAGAGCTCATTTTCAGTGCAGAGGCCAATAACAGGGCTCACGTGAACACAGCTGAGCTGAGCACCAGCAAGACCTCTGGGAAAACACCCAGCAGGATCACTCAAAGGAAATACTGTGGGCAAGCTAGGACCAGAGAAAACAAAAGCAAGAAAATGACAGAGAGGAAGCAGCTGGGGCCCAAACTCATAGAAGAAAAGCCAAGCATTCTCAACTTGAAGCTCAAGACAAACCGACATGCGCTTGGCCAAGAGGCCTTTAAAATGCCTCCCACCTTCCTAGGCAAGCACATGCTGGAGTCTGTGCAGGTTTTCCACCCACTAGGGAAGAAGACAGAGAAGAGAGCTGGGAACTTTTTATATAGGGCTCTGAGAACACCAACCAGCAGCAAAGACCCCAAGTCATTGCCAACAAGCAAACCCTGGAAGGAGGCCCCATGTGAGAGAAAGGGGCCCGAGAGTGCTCCAGAAAGATCGGAGAACCAGCACATCAGTGCTGAAGCAGAGGATTCATCTGCATCCCTGTGTGAGCTCCCACCACCTTGGAAGGTGAAGATAATACCTTTGGGCTTTCCAAGCCCAGAAAAGCCTCAGGCAAGACCTGTTTCTAGAAGGGCACAGCGTCCAGCCTTGCGGAGACCCACTGCAGCTCATCCTGCTGCTTACCCTGCTGCTGCTGATGGCACAGCTCAGCCCTCCCAATTAGCAGCTGGTCACACCTCTCTGCTGGGTCCTGGCAAACCAGCTCAGCCTGTTCTGGAAAATGCCAAGCAGCCGCGCTGGACCATTTCAAAACAGCCTTGGCTTTCTCAGTCTGCAACACGTAAGCCTGCACCCCAGGAAACAGCAGCTTCTGCCTCTCTCAGAAGGGGGCCTGTTGCCACTGTTGTGGGCAAGCGCAGGCCCCTGCCTCAGCCACAACACCCGTTTCTCCTCCAAGACTTCAGCCGCCAGCCCATTCCCTGGAGGGAGCCCAATGTGCCTGAGCCCGTCATGTCCAGCCCCATCGTGGAAGAACAGAGGCCAGAGCGCGAAGCCCTGAAGAGGCAGGCTCAGCGAGAGCGCGAGGTGGCCGCCAAATGCACCTCCTTAGGGAAGCTGCAGTTCTTCAGGCAGAGGGAGAAAGACAGGGAAATCGAGCAGTGCTACGGGTATGCAAGATGACAGCCAGCAGCACTGCCCAGACACCTTGGCCTCCAAGTGATTCTCCACATAGATATGCAGAAAAAGAGGTAGAAATTTGCTGATTCCAATATAATGTTGAAGATGAACATAACCATGTCCTGTTTAAGGGAGGAGGACAGTAGAAGCGATAGTGAATAAAGCACCCTCTTGCGCTCTAAGATGCTGTTCAGTGTGAGTTCTTTCCTAAAGGTGGGGATCAAAGGCTGCATTAGAAAGAAGGAAGGGAGAGTAGGATCACAGAACATGGGCATACAGAATACAGAGGAAGGAGTAACAAATAAGATGTGCATTTAGGGGGCTGGGGATTTAGCTCAGCGGCACAGCGCCTGCCTGGCAAGTGCAAGGTCGTGAGTTCGATTCCCGGTACTGGAAAAAAACAAAACAAAACAAAAAAACAAAAACAAGACAAAACAAAACAAAAGATGTGCATTTAGCAAGGCCACAGAAGAGAGGTGGTATGGGCTAGAAGCAGGATTCAGAAGTGGTAAATGGCAGAAGACAGCGAGTCTGGGGTGAGTGTAAAAAGAATAAAATTAAGATAAGATTCAAGTTTGCACAAGATCAGCGTGGGCTGACCAGAGGAAAGGCAAAATATCTCTGATGGATAATGGCCTCCTGTTCATGATAAAGCCGGCAGGCATTTGAGAAACTGGATTCACATCTCTAACATGCTTGGTTCACTTAAGAATATAGTTGGGCAAGTTCACTCCCAGACACTGGGGAAATGCTCAGGAGACTGGCTGGTGTCCACAGTGGTCCTGGGTCAGTGAAGACTGTGAAACTCGCTCAACTGAGCTTTACCAGCACAAGGCCCAGCCAGAACACGGCCTGGAAAGAAAGCACCACTTCCACAACAGCCATGCACTAGGACAGCAGAGGTGCATCACTCAACTCACTTTCAAACACCTGGGGTTGGTATCACTGCTCCCCTTTAGAGGCTAGGTTCAGTGACAGGGTAGAGCCCTGCTGCATGCACAGGCAGCAGGGCCTCAGTCTTGGCTGCCTGACTGCCTGAAACCTCCACAGAGTGGGAGAGTTTCTGTTGGTAGACATCCTCCCTGGATTTCACAGTATAGTGTACAGAAGTGAAAGGTAGGCAACATCAAACTTGTAAAAGGACAGAACATGAACCCAAGGTGACAGCCAGGCCCTTGTCCCAGGATCCAGCACATGCCATCTTCTGGGAGCCTTGGTCACCACAAGCAGGGCATGAGAAGAAGCAGCTTCCAGTGTGTGTTTCTATTTCAGGAGAGAAGTGCTAACAGAGACACCCTCGGGCAGCTGTGGGACTGAAGCACCAAACTTTCAGATGTGCTTCTCCAGAGGCTTGGAGCCTTAGGGCAGTGATGGAAGAGAGGGCTGGTGGGTGGGGTGGGAAGGCTGGGCTGGGAGTTGGTGGGGTGGTGGAGGGGGCAGGAAAAGAATGGCATGGGGGTAATGGGGGATGAGCACAGAGGACCCTCACCAGGGGAACACTAGTAATTCATGTTTTAAAAATAAGCCACTTACATAGAGTTCTGCTTATCAAATGCACCACTTGAAAGGACAATCCAGTGGCTGTTAGTCCACTGTGGGATTTGTAGCATATTTATCATCTCAAGGGGATTGAGCCATTCCCAAATGTTCCCATATGGTTCCCTTGAACCCTATGGCCAAGTATAGTCATTGCAACAACCCTACTTCTCTGACAACAACTTCTGTCCTGGTTACTTTTCTCTTGGTGCTGAGACAAAACACTTGACACCCAAAATTAAGGAAGGACAGGTTTATTTAGCTCACAGTGTGTGAAGGTTTCAGTCAGTAATCAGCTGGTTCCAAAACAGGGTGGCACAGCACAGGGCCAACACTTCAAGGTGGCAGAAGACAGCAAAAGCAACAAGAGTAAAAGCAGGGAAGACAAAGCCTCTTTTCCTCCCTTATGCTGTCAGCAGGCTACACACCCCTTGTCCACAGGTGTAGCGCTCACACCATCTTCATGCCCTCCTCTTGCACAGGATGAGTATGTTTACAAAGTGAGGACCCTGGACCCTTGAGTCAGTTAAACTTCTAAACTTCTCAAGTTGACACAATGCATCAACCATTACATATGGATAGGACATATTTCTTTCCCCACTCACCCATTAAGTAAGTGGTGAACATTGGGATGGTTTCCTCTAGTGGGTGACATTTCCTGGTAGCTCATCTGTGTCCTGTAGCAGCAGGTTAAGTTATTCCCCCCATTCACAGATAAGGAGCTAGAGGATGTCAAGAATTTGCCCAGGTAAGAGCTAGCAGTTCGGGACCTGGGCCTTGAGCTTCCACTTTAAGGCTTTCAAAGTCAGACAGAAAAATCTCCAGGATACCAAAGGCTGTTCAGTGGTAGTGTCTGCTTCACACTCCCCAAGTTCCCAGTTACCCTCTTTCCTGCTGTTCTGGATTTGTCTACATTGACCACTTAGTTCGTTCTTCCATAGAAATTATGGACCCGTACCTCCACATGTATGTTCACAACTGATGGAATACTCTGTCCCACTCATTTGAGTTGTCATTTCCCTTATGAGTGTGTTACACCCTTAGGTGCACTTGCACTAAGTTTTCAGAATTTTCCAGGCCTTTGAACCTTTCATATTTGCCCTTTCTGTGGAATCCTTTTCCTCAACTTCTAGAGCCATCCCCCAAACAGAACCAGGTAGGCATCCCTGAAAGTTGACCACCCAGAAGAAAGGTTCTACCTGTATATTTTCTCACTGGAAACCAGCTCCACACACTTTCCACTCTTTAGGACTCCTACCATGACTCCCTTTTCTCAGTCACAGCAGAGAGGAGGGGAAAGTGATCCCCCAAACTGGGGAATCTATCAGGGCACTGCCTAACTCGAGTATCCAAGCAAAGGCAAGGTGGGCTGGCCACACACGCCTCTTCCTTATGCAAGAGCAGGCAGTTTCACTTGCTACAAGGCCTCTAGCACAGGCCCTTGTTGACTTTCCTCTAGCAATGAGGCAGTTGGTTCTTGGTGCTTCAGAATTAAAGATCATCAAGTGAAAACCTGAAGGGCAGTGATAAGTGCTCTTACTTAGCATGACTCAGGCCCTGGGTTCAATCCCAGGGAGGGGGAGAGAGACAGACAGAGAGAGACAGAGACAGAGACAGAGAGACAGAGACAGAGAGACAGAGACAGAGAGACAGAGACAGAGACAGAGACACAGAAAGAGACAGACACACAAAGACAGAGAGAGAGACATGCACTCTGTCCTCCAACTACGGTGTTCTTAAAAGTACAGTGAGTAGTGGAGGAGAAAAATATATTCCAGATTTTTTTCTCCAAGGAACCAAATCTATAGCATTTTCTGGACTATGTTGCTTCCTAAAAAATCTTGAATTGTCTGTTGGATGGATACACAGTGAGGTCAGATTGCACTGACTTCTTCCCCTTAGAAAATCAGAAACCTTCATGAGTAAATTTTTTTCTAGCACCGTCATTTCTTTTATGTTCCACCAATGGTTCTCTTCCTCTTCTAAATATACTCCCCTCTGTTTTGCCTGCCGTTCAAGCCAGTCAAGGCAGACTGAAAATCTGAGAAGCCCCAGGCTCTATGCTAGCTCTCTGAGGGCAGGGAAGGAGGCTCAGGCAACTGTCTCACTGTCTCAGGGCGGGCCTGTTGTGTCGGTGCTTCTCTGTGGCGTGGCGGTTCTCCACCACGCGGCAGAGGCGGCGGCTGGCCTGAATGCTGGCGGGTATCTCTGCACTGCTTCCCGGGTACCTGTGCCCTGCCGCTTCCCGGACGCCTGCGCGGCTGGGGGCTGGTCCCGGAAGGGCCGGCATGCCCCCTATTTATTTCAGTAAAGCAATACAAGACAGTAGTTCAATTATGTTACCTATCCTATATATATATA